GTGTTCAATGGTGTCTATGTCCTCATTCACAGCTTTGTCCTCTGTGAGTTGAGAGTGGTGTCTGCCAGGACAGAAGCAATAAACAGCTGCTGGGTGACAGAATCCGTGAGTTACTGTAGCTTTCCCATACATCCTCAGACACAAGTGTTCATGATAACCCACTTTCAACTACTAAAATACACCAGAATCATTCAAAAAATTGTACCTTTCTGGGGCCAAATTCCAGTATGAAGAAAAGGAACCCGAATTTTTAGAATGTCAGACAAAGCTCATCAAGTGGTTCATATGACGCAAAGTCACTTAAAAAAAGAAAAAAAAATCCCTAAAGCAGAATATTTTTAAACAGTAAAATCTTTGAAGAAAGATATGGTCTGGCAGAAAATGGAATTAAAGAACATTGGTGAACAGCCAAAGTATGTCACAGTTTCACAGCAAGGTGAGTCTTCCTTCCAACAGCCTCAGCTTACCCAAGGTCACGACCTGCTTTCTCATCCCTGGAGTCGGTAGAGGGGGGAGCTCTGTAGCATAGAAACGACATATGTGGCAGGCAGCTACAGGCGAGGTTAATATGTAACCCCGTGGTTCTGTGACAAAGGCTGCAATTCCGAATGCACTCACCAAGTTTAAGGTCACCAGGTGGAATGGGCAGGGGTGACCCAGAACAGACATTCAGAATTCAAAGCCAAGGATCACCTGCAAACTTAGTGGCAGGCAGGATTCACTGGCTCTTGCTTTGTGAGTTACGGAAAGTAAGGGACAGCCCCCGGAACTGCTTAAAGTGAATTCTGTTGGCATGGCAACTGTACATTCCGAGAAAGTATTAGAAGTATTTTAAGCACTGGGTAATTTTGAATTATTCAGGGAAATCCCCTGCTGGAGAAATTCCAGCTGGAGTGTGTGTGCCTACCTTCCTGCCTACAAGAAGAATATAGGTATTTCAGTCCTATAATCTTACTGCCCTTCGTGTTTTCTTCTGAGGTTTCCCTAACAGTCTAGGTAGAAGCCAGCTTTCCTCCTGGCATTTTGCCAGATCACTTAAAAGTGACTGATTACTTTCCTAATACATTCTGCAAGCACACTGGGAGATGTCCATCACATCTAAAGGGATCCTGAAGCCAACGGTCTAGCCCCACTCTTAAAGAAACCCCAGACAGAACCTTTACACGAAGGCATTTCATCTCACCGTGTCATCTATCTCCTACTGGTATCTGGACCAATGGATGAAGAACTGCTTTATCCTCTGGCATGCTAACCTTCTGACTAGTCGCTCCAACAAGCCTATTAGACTCAAGTCCATCTGCTGAATGTTTGGATCATCTACGATGTTCTGAATCCATCACTGCAGCTGACAACTAACCTCCTAAGGGGTATGAGACTCCCTCTTGACCAAAGATGCTTACCAGTATCTATAGGAAGAGGGAAGAGATGACCAGTCTCTTTGATCCTCATCTCTCACTGCCTCCTCAGTGTGGTACCTTTAGAGGATTTCACATGACTTGTTTTTTCAAAACCAACGAGATGATGTCAGAGTTTGATAGTTACAGTAAGGAGGATGCTGAGCTAGTAAGGGTGTTCCCCTTAGAATCCTTGTTTCTATCTACTGAGAAAGGAGCACACACCACTATTTATACTTATCTTTATATAGTAAAGAGAACATTAAAGAAGGCATCTAAATAGCCAATAAGGTTAAAGGTGATCCTTCATCCATTAACCATCAGAAAGATGCCAATTAGTATCCAATTTCACACCTGTAAATTTACTAAGACGGAAAAGGCAGATATTGTCAAGTGTTGGCAAGGAGGAAGCAGCCAGAACTTTACCACATACCATTAAGCACAGCCATTTCAAAGAGATGATTCACAGGACCTGCTGAGGCTTTCACCTATGCCTCCCCAGACACAGCAACCTTACTCTATTCCGCAGAATGAGAACAACAGCAAAAACAAACAAACAAGCCATTATGGGACCCTCATATGAGGAAGTACATTGTGATTCTACTTAGGGAACAATTTTCAATAAGCATAAATAACTCGCACAATTGGTTAGGGCAAAATGGTTACCCCATGTGGGCAGTAAAGATGGCAGGAGCAACCGATGACCTTCTTGGGACACTAATAATGTCCTGTTTGATCTAGGCTCACAACTATGGATGTTAACTTTGTCAACATTAATCAAGCTTTATCATTTTTTTGTGTGTTTTTCTGTATGTACATTTTAGCATTCCTATGCAGACATTACCCTTCCACACAGCTCACAAAATTAGTATGGATCCGGGTCACCACATGCCAGTGAGTTCCATCCTCTCTCATTTTGCTTCTTATTATTGGGAGTTTAAGAATTGCACCGGTATTCGGTGGGGGAAAGGGATGGCAGCAAACTTAGGATAAATAAATTTGATTGCTCTATACCTCTTACCTCATAGGCTCTACCAGGGTCAACAAATTAGATCATCAGAGTCAGATGCCTATAGATTGTAACGATCGCAGAAGTCATCCCACACAGCTAATGAGAGCCAACCAAGGTCCAAGGAGGTCACGATAACTACTTCTATACACCTGACTTGTTGAAAGGCAGGGACAAGCTACGCCTTCCTTCCACAGGGCAGACCTCAGTGCCAGCTGCACCATGTAAAGGTTGGAAAACTTTAGCCCATTTCATTCTTCTGCCATAGATGATAATCTGTTTCCAGTTCCAAAGTGAACCTCTTCACTAGATAAGATCACCTGATGTCTGTTCTTTTTTTTTTTAAAATATTTTGTTTATTATGTATACAATATTCTGTCTGTGTGTATGCCTGCAGGCCAGAAGAGGGCGCCAGATCTCATTACAGATGGTTGTGAGCCACCATGTGGTTGCCGGGGATTGAACTCAGGACCTTTGGAAGAGCAGGCAATGCTCTTAACCGCTGAGCCATCTCTCCAGCCCCTGATGTCTGTTCTTGAGATAACTGATCAGAATTCCGACCTCCCACAAAGAGCAGAATTCCGAGGGCTGAACATGGAGGCTGCGTGTTGTAAGAATGAGGAAAGCTAGAGACTAAAGGAGGACTTCACACATGAAACAGTTCCTCTCTACATGTCTGGGATGAAATCTCTCCAGTTACTAGGATTTTCATGACATTTAAAAGTTTTATTTATTTTGTATGGATGGTATATGTGTGTTAGTTTGTGTGTGCCACTGCATGCATGAATGCAAGGTCAGAGGAGTTGGCTTTCTTCTTCCATTAAATGTTTCCCAGGGATTGAACTCAGGTCATGAAGTTTGGCAGCAAGCATCTTTACCTACTGAGCTGACTCAGAGGACACAGTCCCAGTTTTGGAGATGGGGAAAGTAAGGTACAAGGAGAGCCCACTAGTCAGTGCTGGTTTGATAATGGGAGCCTGGGCTTACTGCTGTTAATTGTGAGTGTTTGGAATGAGAGGGTCTAAGGCTCTGTGGTGTATTGAGCGACTCTTGAGGACTTTTGGAAACTGGAACAGGCAGAGAGTAGGAAACTGATGGAGGAGGGTCATCTGTCTATGTGTTACTTTCATTGGTTAATAAAGAAACTGCCTTGGCCCTTTGATAGGGCAGAAAATTAGGTAGGCGGAGTAAACAGAACAGAATGCTGGGAGGAAGAAGGCAGTGAGGCAGACACCATGACTCTCCTCTCTGAGACAGATGCCATGGCTCTCCTCTCCAAGACAGAGGTGGGTTAGAATCTTCCCGATAAGCCACGACCTCGTGGTGATATACAGATTATTAGAAATGGGTTAATTAATATAAGAGAGTTGGCTAATAAGAGGCTGAAGACAATGGGCCAGGTAGTGTTTAAAAGAATACAGTTTCCATGTAATTATTTCGGGGATAAGCTAGCTGGGATCCAGGCGAGAAAGCAGCCCGCCACTCCTTCTACAGGAAACACAAGGAGAATGTGAGAAACCAGCAGAAGACTTACCGCAAGACAACAAAGAATGAAAACTAAGACACATCCATGCATGGGTGAGCACACGTGTGCATAACCACGTCTCAACACACAGGGAATTGTTGAGCCAGCCATCATTCAGATGAATCTAGGTTAGCTGGGAATTGCTAACTCATTGTTTTATTTTGTAATTTAAATACACTAAAGAGTATAGTGACTGTGGTTATGGTTTTGGCAGGATGTCAGGACAACACTTTGAAAAAAGATTTAACTGGAAAGTCTTAAGCAGTGAAGAATAGGGGAGCCCTCATCCACTCCCTGTCCACTCCCCAAACCACATCCCTGGCTCAGCCAAGCTGCATCCCACATGGACATCACCAGCTAACTCCCAACTGGGCTTTCTCACATTTTCCTTCTTCCGGCCATGCCACAGCACAAGCACCATGTGTCTCCAGTACCAGCTCTGCTGTCAGCTTGAGACATTTCTCCATGGCGACACGAAATGAAAGCCTAGGGTGTCATTCACTGCCTTGTCTACTTGATTGGATTCTGAGTATCATTTACATGGATATTCTTGGCCTGGTGTTTGACACAGAAAGATTATACAGAAAGGAAATCATGTTTGCCCCAAGTGCTTTGGAAAGGCCTGCCTCCCCGGGTACTGCATTTTATCCCGCTGGTCCCCACACACCACCCCACATTTTAAAAGGATGCCGTCCCCGCTAGCAATGCAGCACCAACAGATTTTTCAAAGAAGAACCAAAGTCCCCTTCCCCCCATTCCGTCAGGTTGAAGGCAGGTTAACTCCGGCTGCTGAAGGCAGTTTTAGATTTGAAATGCAGTTTTTTCCCCCCTTTCAAAGCAATGGAGACACCATGCAGCCTGTTAGATTTATAGAATTCCTGGTCTCCCAAGACTTTGCAAAGCGAATGGCATCCATCAAATTAATTTCCTTGGGGATCGTCTCAAACATGGAGAATGAAAGGGCCCAGGCCATTAAACATCAAAAGGAAGTTCTAAATGCTCGTTAAACTTCTATTATATTTTCTTTCTTTCTTTCTTTCTTTTTTGCAGGGAGCAGATTAATTCAATTGAGAATATTATACGTATCAAAGCTGACAGTGTGAATGTGTGGAGCTGGTTGGAAGAGAGCTTAGTGCTGCTGACATCTGTTCATTCAAGTTACACAAAACGGGAAAAGTGTGAGCTCCGTTAGACCGGGGCGGACTTACCAAGCCGGCACACGTAGAAACAGCAACAGAGGACGAGCTGTCATTCCTGATAAATCCCTGATACAAACACTGCTGCGCCTCGGGTTCCCGAGTCTCGGAAGCGCCGTCCTTTCCAAGTACCTGGACTGTAAAGTGACTGCTCAAAATGGCCGAGGGCTTAAGCTCTAAGTGTAGATCCTGTCCAAATGCTGAAAAGCGGTAGTGCAGGGAGCTGCTGGCACCGTGCGCCGATCGCCTTCTCCTGTTGTGCAAAATGTCGTGTGAGATATATGACCCGCCCGAATCCACTTCGACGGGCGTGACAAAGACGTAATCTGTAATGGGAAAAATTTAGCTGTCAGCACCCAGGGCCCAAAATGCCAGTGGGTCAGTTTCCAGCAGGCTGCCCCAAAGCTCACAAAAATCCTTGTTCCGTGCACCTAACACAGAAGAGAATCCAGAGGGGCTCCTGGGCACTGTGTTTTGTGCCACCAGGATCTATCGCCTTAAACTCCTACGGAGGCTACAGCTGTGGTGAAACCCTTGTCCATTTTTTTTTTAAAAAAAAGAAAAAAGCTACAGAAACTAAGAGCTAAGCACAATTTTGATAAATTTCAAAACTATTTGGGTGAAAGGTCAATATTCGGTATGAAAAGAAATACAGGGACTGTTCATGTATTAGCCGTGGGGCATCTGTATGTAATGCTCATGATGATGATTGACAAAAAAGTAATCAATATAAAGTTGCAAAGGTTAATAAGTGGGTATTTTTCTTCTGGAGATTGATAGCCTTGTTTAGGTTGCTCTGAGGCTAGAAACACTACAAATAAGTCGCAAAGTGCCGTTTCTGATGACCCCTCAGCTCATTAACAAGGGGCAGTCAACTCCCCGCCCCCTCAGTGCTACTTCCCAGGAGAACAGGACACCAACGCTTGGGTCTCCTTTCCTATTTCAAGCAGCTTCCAGGGAGGCCTAAGCACAACTGAGGCAGAAACGGGCCTCCAAACCTGCAGAAGCGTCCTAGACAGAGGCTGATGTTTCAAACTGCTCAGACATGTTGGAGGGGTTGTGGCAGATCAGGGACACCTGGAAAGGCATGTTTAAAAATGCCTTCCCCCTGGCTCCCCTGAGCAGCACTAATTGCTGTATGATCTGGGGGTGTGTAGGGGGGCGGAGAGCTAGGAAACAATTTGCTGCGGGAAAGTCGGTACACTGCTTTCTTTCACAAACCACTGGAGTTGAAAACATCGTCCCAGAAGATGATGTGGAGCATGCCCTGTGCACATGAAAAAAAAAAGAGAGAGAAAAAATGTTCTGGGTTTCCACTTTCGAGGCACACACAGAATGGGAGACTAATTTGGAAAGTGTTTAGAAAGATTCCGAACAACTAAGAGGCATGTTTGAGTCACTTGGGTCCTTGGCTCCCAGAAAAGAAAAGAAAAAAGAAAGATTAAAAAAAAAAAAAACCCCCAGGGGGGGGGAGGAAAAATTCTTCCCTGAGCAGTCAACAACAATAAAATGAAACATCATTTAGGAGATGCTAAGGAATCAGGAAGTTTTACAGTGTGTAGGGATCAAAACACAATATTCTAATTATATTCTGATTAGGCTCACATTAGCAAAGAAACCCCAACATTACAATAATGAGCCCTGTTTCCTTCTGGACCATGTGTGACTTCTAAGGCGTGGCCAGCTCTTTCATGGCTCCTTTTGCCCTCTTTCTTTTAAACTAGAAATACCCTATCATTGACATATTTTTCAGAAAATAAAAGGAAAAATCTGTTCCCCTTAAGAGTGAGCAGGACACGTTTTAGTTCTCAACAAATTCCTAATATGTTGTTCTGAAGGTATGTAGCTGTTGATTAAAGCCAGCCTTCCGTTCTTTCTTTTTGCAAGAGAAGACTTATTTTCTCCATCTGCCAGAGTCAGACCTGACTGCATAACAGCCATTTCCGACACATGCTCCTGACAGTTCCTACCGTGTCTTCCTTTCCTCCTTGTGCACAGCCATCTGACATTCCACCTGCTCTAACTTGGGAGCGTTAGCCAGTCTTCCCGACCCCTTGTCCCCTCCCAACCCAGAACACCTGCTATAAGTTTGTTTCCAAAAGAGGAACATAACAGGCTGTTGGTTACATTCAGTCCTGTTTGGGAAAGGGGGCAGTGAGAGGTCCCTTGCAAAGACTGATGTGCTGTGTTGGTTCAGGTGCTTACAGGGGCTGGGAAATGGAGCCCAGTGGGCGGAGTTCTTGACAAACACGCAAGAGGCGCTGGGCTCAATCCTCATTACTAGATATACCAGGTGTGTTGGGCTTTCCTGTGAAACCAGCAGCAGGGAGGTGGGGGTAGGAGGACCCTGAGGTCAAGGTCATCTTCTCTGTAGCTAGACTACTGGACTCTGTCTCCAAAAACAACAGAGTAAGTCCTTATACGCCATGCCCGGAACAGAAAGTGTCGCTGGCCATTCGCTCCTGGTGAACAGGAGGGAAGTTTTAGAAGCTTCTGACTGGCTCTGAGGGGACAAAATGAAGACTTCAGAAGAGTGTATTTCTAGGTCCCCTGTTCTCTCACTACCCATTCTCCGAAAGCCTTTGCCCATAATTCTAGCACCTTCCAGTCTCAAAATGGCCCCTTGCACTTGAACAAGAGAACTCAATCCCACAACGATGACAATTTATAATCCCAAGAAATCCATGTTGGCCAGTAAAGTCTTGCTAAAGGGCCTGGGGCAAACATGAATTGTTCTCCTGCAGCTGGTGGGAAACACTGAAGCAAGCGTTTCCCTCTCTGGGAGTATTGCGAAGTTAATAAATGAGAAAAGATGGAGTGTGCTCTGGACCTTTGAAGCTGGGGGACTTAAAAGACAGAAACGAGGACTTAAAGCACCCAGGGCTAGTGTCTTCCCCTAAAAGGCGTCTTTGGGCATCATGGCACAATGTCAGTGAAGAGAGAAGGGAGGGACAATGGGAAAGCGACAGGAGGGGAAATGGGAGCTCACCCCCTCTCAGCCTCAACTAGAATTTGTTTCTGTGGTTTTCCCAGGAGAGGAAGGAAACGAAGGAGCCTTTTATCAATTCCCTACTCGGTGCCCACTTCCTTTCTCATTTCTTACTTAAGTTCGGATTATTTTTCTTAACAAGCCATCTGTGAAGGAGGGAAATTATTTTCTCATCTATGTGACTCGCAGCTTGAGGCATTGATTTTCTGATAACTTCACAGACCTTGCCACGTTTCCCTTCTCCAACCAGGGAACCTTTTCTTTTCTTTCTTCTTTTTTTTTTTTTTTCCACACAGTACACACCTGCCAGGTTAGGAGGTGCGCCTTTTTCTAGCATTTCTCTCTCTTGAACACAAAGGGGACAGAGTGCGAGGGACGGGGTGGGGGGGAGCCCTTGCGGGATGGTGGAGTACAGAGAGGGCAAATACGAACCATCATTTAATCCGCTGCCACCGCTGCTGCTGTCACTGGCTAAGGCGACGGCCACCGAAGCACAGCAGAGGCAGCACAGCTGGAGCGCCTGCAAGAGAGAAAAAGGTGACACCCGCGTGTGAGCAGCGCGGCGGGTCGGGCGCCTCCCTGGTCCCGGCTGTGCGGCGCGCCCCTCGGTCGTGGCACCTGCCTTGGCCAGACGCCCTAGTCCCGCGGGGCCCCACGGCGGCCCGGGATCGGCTGCCCGGAGGGCGCACGCGAACAGGAGGGCGCACTCCATGGTCAGGTGCGGACGCGGTGACTGCTGGAGGCGCGCATTGTCCCCGAGGGCCGCGGAGCCCCAGGTGCGGCGCCAGGTGCGAGTCGCCCCTGCAGCTCACATGGCAGCGCTGGAGCCTGGGAACCTCCTCCCTGCTCCGGCCGCGCGGGCCTGAGGCGCTGCGGGGTACAGGGTCTCCCAGAGTCGGGTCTGCAGCTCCCGTGGCGGGGAAGCTCTGTCGGTGATGCTCGCGGGTCTGCTGCGCGCGTGTCGGTGTCGGTGTCGGGGTGATTGTCTGCGGCTCGCGCAGAGCAGCGCTAGCTGGCTCCCCCAGCGCGCCCGAGCCTAGCGCCCGCCTCTCCTCCGCTCAATGATTGGCGACCCGGGCCTTCCCTGGGCTCGTCCGAGCTCCTGTACAGCAAAGGGCGTGGGATTCCTGGGCCTGGGCTCCGAGGGAGGGGAAAGAGGGGGCGGGGAGGCCGAGTGGGAGTCAGGAGGAGGGAGGGACCGACGCATGGCCAGGAGAGGGAGGGCAGCGCTCACGGTCCGCCTTGGGATCCTAATTTAGGGGCACAGAGAGATGAGCTGAGAAGTTGGAGGCTCAGGTAAGGGGTGTGACTTCTGGAAAAAGTCTGGTGATGGCTAAGAAACTCTGGGTTCGCTGGAAAGTTTCTGCAGTTTTCTCTTTCGCGGCATCCCAGGTCCTGCCCTGACCAGGTGGCAATCCTGGACCTTTGATAAAGAGATGTGTAACCTGAAGCTTGGGTGCACTCAAGATCACCCAGCTGCCCAGAATCCCACCAGTTACCGGCATATCTGGGGCAGCTTGAAGAAGAAACAGCGAGCAAGCGGTGAATAGTCACTGTTCCCAGTATATGAAACAACGCCCGGCGCCCCCCCCGGCCCCGCTCCGAGACGGACTTCTACAAATTGAATCTTGTCTCCAGGTACCCAGGTACCCAAATCTCTTTACATTGGCCCTAAGAAACAGAACTTGTGGACATTAGGTGCCCTCTATTCTGTATGACTATCCGTTTACTCAATGCCTTTATTTGATTCTTTTGATCCTTACAGTTTGACGGAGGAGAAAAAAAAAGTTTTCACAGGCCAGTGAGAAAGACCTTCATTGGGTAGCTCGACTACAGTATAATGAGATTTGCCGTCACACTCAAGCACGAACAAGCAAGACAGACTCTAGTTGGGGGTAGGGGGGTTGTCAGACATGAGGCATCTCTTAGAGATGCCACTGGAGAAAAAATAGCTCCAAAAGAAAGAGGGGACTAGGATTTACCCGCTAAGAGAAAGGGTACAGCATACACAAAGAGCCTTTGAAGTAGAGAAGGTGTTTGCCCTGGGTGGAAGCGGTAAGGAGACCAGAGACAAAACCATCAGGAGGCTGGGTGAGAAGGGCCCTGGAGTGTTGGCAGAAGTGCAAAGCATACAGGTATATAGGATGCAGGAAGCTTTGGATTTCTTTGACTGTGTGTTGTGTGTAGGTAGCAGGCAATATCAACTCCAAATATCAGCCAATGGGAAACCTGCTGAGCATGCGGACAGACCAGAGATACCGAGGCAAGCAGAGAGGAGAAAGTTAGGATACTGTTGCCAGCATCAGAGTGCAAAATGATAGGTCTTAGACCGATGGTGGTAACAGAAGGAGACAGCCCTGCTCAATTCCCTGAACACAATTTAGAGGAGGTCCTTGTCAGTTTTAGAAGTGATAGGTCAATACACATAATCTAGTTCATTGACTGAAATAGCGATTGATGATAAACTTGGACCGCAGAGGCAAATGTGGCCTTTATTTGCTGGGAAGGAAGAAGCGTGGTTTCAAAGTGAGAAAAATTGGAGTTCCATAATTCCCGGGGTTCCCTAAGGCCCCTGTCTTAAGCTAGGTTAAGCAGGAATTATCATGCTGTATCTAAAGGGTATCCTAAGAACTTAGTATATTTTTCTAAGCATTTCATAAGTAGGCTTTAAAAATAAGAGCAGAATATTTCCACTACTTGGTAGAATATGTTATGTGAAACTTACATATGCATTCAAACTGTCTGTGATGCTGAGCCAGGATCCATTGGGTAGAGCACCCAGAGATGAGCATCCAGCAGATTGTGATGGGGTGACTCAGTGCATTGGGTGACTTCACCAAAGGACTGAACACTAAAGGATATTAGACATCAAAGATATTCAGTAAAAAGCCAACCCACTCCCCATGTCAGTAACCAACATACTGAACAGCAAAAGGGGACTGGGGTCAACAATGTAAGCAACGGCACCAAGCAAACACCAAAGGAAACGGAAGGAACACTTGGTCTCTCCAGTCAGCTGACAATAACTGTGCCCCTGGCAAGGGTTCTTCCACTAGTTTGCAAGAGATTACCCACATCCTTTCAGGCTGCCTCTTTTTATGGCTAAGTTCAGGGCTAGAACGCAAGGCTCATAGTCAGAGGGAACACATTCATCCTGTCCTGGAAGGTAGGCAACAGGTTACATTGTGTCTTCAGTCAGGAAGCAGAGAGATGAATGCTGGAGTTGATCAACTCACTGTTATTCAGTCTGCGATTCAACCCATGGGCTGGTGCCAACCACATTTAGAGTCAGGGTTTTCACCTTAATTATTAGCCCCTCCTCTAGATTACTAATGGACACACAGAAATGCCCAGAGGTTTTTCTATTGGGTTATTCTAGAGCCTGTGAAATTGTCAGTTAATACACACACACACACACACACACACACACACAGAGAGAGAGAGAGAGAGAGAGAGAGAGAGAGAGAGAGAGAGAGAGAGTTAGGACAGACTTTCAAATATTCCGAGGCTGGGGGTGAGGGAGAGGTTGCTCCCATGAGAACATGAACAGTGTATCTCCTGATCTCAGTCTCTTCTCCGTCAACATGGAGTCATTGAGTGCCCATCCATTAAGGTCCTCAGCCTCCTTATGAACCTAATAAGGAGGTGGTTCATCCCCCTCAGTGTCTTTCTAGTTCTTATAATCTAATAAATCTCAGTCTTCCAAAATTTGGTTCAGTTTCTGAGACCCATTTCCTATATCTCCATAAATATAGCAATCAGGTTCTGATTGTATCTATTTACACACATATGAAAGTGTCCAATCTCTCCTGCAGGGTTTATATACAAACATTTGGAAAGCCTTAATTTTTGAGATGCCCTTGTGCATTCAATTTCCTAAGAACTGGGCCTGCAATATGTTTGCACTACCTCTAGATGGTGACAGAGGGTCGTCAGCATGGGGTACATCTTTGAAGACAGGAGTATTTCATAGCACTTCTAAGTCATTTGAAAATACTTTCAAATTTTTAACTTATTTTAAAACCTGTAATCTAAAACACTGTGATTACTGTTAAGGTTTATAATAAGCCAACAGATTTTTTTTTTCAATCTTAGCCCAGAATATGGCATGAAGATGGTACTCCTATGTGGAAGGAAGAAAGGGAAGACGAGCTAGAGACAGGGAAACGGAAAACAGGAACATTTGACATAAAGAAAAAATATTTAATTTTTCCTCATTACCCTTGCATTAAAATCAGTGGTAAAAAATACTGGTTTTATTTCTAGTGATGTAAATTTAACCTTCTTATCCTACAAAGCAGTATGTCTCTGCTAATAATCTCTTCCTGATGGAGTCAAGAAATACAATGTAAATCGTGTTCTCTTCCTATACTTCCCATTGTCCCTGATCCGTTAAGATGCATGTATCCTTCCCATAAAGTGAAGCAAACTCATCACAGTCAGCTATCTGAGATGGCCACCTCTTGATTTTGTCCTTTCCTACAGGCACAGTGGGGGGGGCACTGCCCCTCAACCCCTCAAAAGCTGCAACACTAAACGTTCGCTAGGTTTTAGTGAGCAGGTGTCTCTCTCAGTTTCCTGTGCATTCATAGCTTGAGGAAAATCCCACCATCTCCGAGTTGTGGGAAGGATAAAGGAAAAGTGAAAACAAAAAACTGATCTCACTCCAATAGCCGAAGGAAGAAGGAAACTCAGACACGGGAGACTAGGTCGATGTTTAGGAAGACACTTGAGTGGGGCCCTGATTTCAGATCCCCAGAAACCCCATAGAATGCTGGGTGAAATAGTATAATGTTTGTAATCGTGCGCTCTAAGATTGGAGATGGAGACGGGAGGACCTCTCAAAGCGCACCAGACAGCTAGCTTGGTAGATGTGCTACAGCTCCAGGCCCTTGAGAGACCCTGTCCCAAATAGAAGGTGGGAAGAATGGAAAGGACTGGAGGACATCTGGGGTTGTCCCCGGACTTTTACGTGTGTGCTCTTTACACATGCACCCGTTCCCATGAGTATACCACCACACCTGGGTATATGCATGACAAGTCTTCCCCCATAAAAAAAAAAAATTCCATTTTGATAAGGATGCACCTCCTTGAAGACCTGAAAGGTCTTCCCATTCAGCATCTCAGAAATGGGGCATAGGTAGAAAAGTTGTCCTCAAAATCAGTAGGGAAGGAAGAGAGTTTCTGATTCTGCCTCCTTTATAATCAAACCATCCCCAAAGATAAGGAGCACACAGGATGCAGGCCGCCTACAACAACTTCCAGTAACAGTACAGGAGATAGACCCTTGGAGTCTAAGAACAATTTTCTAATTCGGGGTCATCCGACACAATTTAGGGAGTCAGGCCTTGGCATGCAGACCTGTAATCCTAGCCACTTAGGAGAGTGACTTGGGGGATGGCACATTCAAGGCCAGCCTGGGCAATTTAGTGAGACTTGATCTCAAAATAAACAGTAGGAAGGGTGGAGGGTGTGGCTTGGGGTAGACTGCTTGACTGCTGTGAGTGATGCATCACGTGGAGTCCATCTCCTTTGCTATGCCCTACTCTCCAGTCAATGCCTGACTTAGGAATTCCCAGTGACTCTTCCTCACCTTCGGTGTGGCATCATATCTTGTTTTCTTATTAGACAGACATTGAACCAGGGTTCCTCAATTACCTATACAGGAAGGTCCCCCCCCCCATCTCTCTTTTTCCATTGTGGATCTTACTCTGCATGTGGTATGCTTGCTCCCCGACTTCTATTTTTAGCCCTTTCCCAAGCTCTACTATTAAAAGTCCCTTGCTTGCCAGAGTCCAAAGAGGTAGTATTAAAACGAGGCTACTTATTTCCACAAACAAATTCAAGGCCAAACTCCAAGCTCGTGGAAGAGTAGAATGCACATTTTTCCAAAGCTCTGGGAAGTATCAAACCGCCTCGGAAGGACAAATAACTTTTGTGTGCAGGCACCATTCTCTCCTTCTTTACCCATCATG